AATAAATAAAAATAAAAATTTTACACGTGCATAAATAAAAACTTTTTTTTCTTCTTATCAAATCCACGTTTATTTAAGATAAAAAAATCATATGTTTTTTATTTATTTATATAAATACATACATAAATATATATTTATGTATGTATGTATACGTTTCTGAAAATAAAAATTAAAAAAAAAAAAAAAAATTAAAAAGGAAAACTAGGGCGACGTTTTTTCTTTATTTTCCTCCATTTTAACTTATAATAAAATATTTTATCAATCACACCGATATTTAATAATTAAAAAATTATTAAAGTAAATAAAAAAAATAATTAAATACGAAAATATATACAGTAATAATAATAATAATAATAAGGCATAAGGTCATTGTCGAAATTTAAGGCCGAGGATATATTAGCGACATAGAAAAACATAAATGGAGGTCAAAGTCAGGGATGTCTCCTCGTGAATTTACATTTTCTTATAGATAATTTTATTATCACACTCTTCTCAAGAAAATTGTTTAATAATAATAATAATAATAATAATAATAATAATAATAATAATAATAATAATAATAATAATAATAATAATAATAATTGTATGTGGGTTTATTAAATTATTTGACGGAATTTGATTTACACGTCAAATAATTTGTTTTAAATGAAATTTTTTTTTTTTTACACGAAAAAAAAAAAGTGAAAACGGGGAAAAAATACGAGGCGGCACATAAATCGTTTATTATTATTATTATTATTATTATTATTTAAAAATTAGTAACAGAAAAAAAAATGAATAGAGAATGGAAACGTTTTCCTTTAAATAATATTGTAAATTCAATCGTGCATAAACATAAATAAAAAAAAAAAAAATTCAAAATTTGATTATTATACCCTAATAAATAATAATAATAATAATAATAATAATGATGAAATAACTTGAATAGAACACCGGATATTTAATCGGTACACGTTTGACATTTCTCTGCATAAATATGAACAGTTTCTTTTAATACTTATTTGAATATACTTAAATTACAATATATGTATATATATATCGACAAAATTGTGCAATAAATGAAAAAATTCAAACAAACAAACAACAAACAAACAAGTATTAATTTCCCACATTGACAAATGCATGGAAAAAAATTTTTTTTTTTTTTTTTTATTGGCTTATTTACGCGGTTAAATATTAAAAAAAACGACGACGCGTTAAATAATTTAATTAGCTACTACGATTCACTTTAATTAACGCATTAAATATAATAATTTACACGTTTTAATATTTATTTACAATTTAAAACCTTTTCATTTTGTCTATTTAAACAACAAACAAACAAACGGACAACCGATAGTTGATTTAAATTAATCGATTTATATATAATAATAATAATAATAATAAAAACAACAAAGACAAAACGAAAAAAGATGGATGGATGGATGGACTTTGTAAACGTTTAAACAGATTAAATTCAATAATAATAATAATAATAATTTATCCAACAAATACGATCATAACAACCTAAAAAAATTATTATTATTATTATTATTTTAAATATATATATATAAATTACATTGGTAAACAATTTACATTTAATTAATAATAATTAATAATGTATGTTCTGTATTATATAATATTAAAAAACAACATATTTTTTTAAATTAAAAAAAAAAAAAACTTTTGCCTTTTTAAGAAAGTAATAATAATAATAATAAAACAAAAGCAGGAAGTCGTTTTTTCATTTTTGTTCGAAAAACTACTTTTTTTTTATATATATAGTTAGTTAGTTGGTTGTAGATATTTTCTCTCACAATGGATAAACAAACACAAACACACACAGACTACAAAATTTTCTTTTTTTACATTATTATTATTATTATTATTATTAGCAAAATAAGAATAATAAGAATAAAAAAAATTGATTGGTTAATTTTTTCCAAATAGTCATAGGTTGTTTTCTCTGTACCTTATTTATAAGATCCAAAACTATAAACTACGTTTAATAATAATAATAATAATAATAAAGTTCAGTCACGTCCATTCCACAAATGGACAAAATAAGGCACAACGTAGACTTTCAAGGTTTAAATGAAAATTAAATCGCAAATAAGAAGGAAAATAATATTAATAATAATAATAATAATAACAGGTAGAAGGCGTAATTGATGCGTGGCAAAACATTACATTTATTTTTTTTTTATTCCTAACTATGAAAACACTACTATTATTATTATTATTGCTTTTTTTTGACAATGTTAAAACCTTTGATTTTTTTTTTTATTCACTGTAAGTAAATTTTATCATTAAAAAAAAAAAAAGAAAAAAGTTTCGAAATAAAATAAAAATCAATAAGTAAAATTTAAAATATATAAACTTGGTATGTTTTCTATTCATCAGAACAGTTGGAACAATGTCTGTTTTTCAAAAAAAGAAAAAACGAAAAAAGAAGCCTTGAAATGCTTTTGCAATAGAATTAGATTATTATTAGTAAATGGAGAATTAGATTGTGCAAACCCAAGAATTTTTTTTTAAAAGTTTGTGTCAGTTTGTTCTAAACATGCAATTTCATAAGGAACACATTCTAAAATATAACGGCCATTTTAATATTTTGACAACGTCCTTGTTTTCCCTTTACGGTTTTTGAACTCAAAAAGAAAAAAGAAAATCCTTGCTTTTTTATTAATTATTATAAAATTAAAAATTTTTGTGGATAAGAAAATAAAAAATGCAAGGTGACTACAATTTTATATTATTTTCTGTAATAAAAATACTTTAATATTAAGGATTTGATTTTTGCACCAATATATTGACAAAAATACTAAAGTCCATAATAATGTTAGTTTACATTAGACTATTTCACCTTATTAAACAAACAAACAAACAAACAAACAAAGCTAACAACCAGACGTTTCGCATGTATATTCCTTTGTCTCATTCACGACCCTTGACTTGACTCAAGATTACATATGAGAAAGATAAATATTATCTAAACTTAAGCACAAGAGACAAGTGTTGTGTTATTATTATTATTATTGTTATTGTTTTTGTTTTCATTACTATTATTATTATTATTATTACTTTATTTTATAAAAATTGATTTTTCTTTTTATAAAAAAAAAAAAAAAACCAAAAATATATTTTTAATTTTAAAACGACCAAAATATCTTTTTTTATGATCTTTTTTTTTTTTTTTTAAAAACCGTTTTTAATAATAAAAAAAAATAATAATAATAATAATATTAAAAAAAAAAATTCTATTTTTAAGAAGAATAAAGATATTAAAATTTTATTATTATTATTATTATTATTATTATTTCAGTAATGAAAAAAAAAACAAAAGGAAATTTTTTTTTTTAAACAAACATTAATTACAACAACAAAACCAAAAAGTAATAATTTAATTTTAATATTTTTTTTTGTTTTTGTCATTTATTATGAATTATAAATAAATAAATTTAATACTGTTATTTTAACTTTGTCCCTCTTTTCTCTCTTTCTCTCTCCCTCTCCCATTAAAAAAAAAAGAAAAAAAATTATAAATGACAAGAAGGAAGTGTTTGTGTACAAATATCCATATAAATTTAGACTAAAGAAATTTTGCCTTTAAGCTAATTATTTAAATTTATTGGCTATTGGATTTGGAAATTTGAGATGTTTAATACTTTTTTTTTTTTTTTTTGGAATTATGTTCTAACATTATTATTGAATCACTACTAAAAAAAAAAAAAAATGTCCTAAATTAATTTGGTATAATTCATTCGCAGCACCATAATTTAAAAAAAAAAAATAAAACAAAATCATTTTGATAACAAATATATATAAAGAAAAATTTTTTTTTTTGTTATGAATCTTATTATAAACTTAAGTATAATATTTAATTATCTACTATAAATATATTTAAGTATATATATAATATTTGGAAAACCTCCAGATCTAATTTGGACCATACAAGACTTTTTTTTTTTTACAATTAATAATATTAATTAACATGATAGAAATGTTTTTACAAGATTTTACATGCATTCGAAACAAAATATGGATGCATATATACAGAAATGTATTAAAAATTCTATAATTTGTTTAAAAAAAAAAAAGAATAAAAAATCAACATTAATTATGATTAATAATGTGTGGATCAATAATTTAAAATAAATTAATTTTAAAAAAAAAAGAAGAAATATTGTAAATTAATTATTAAAATCTAATATTAAAAAAATTGTTATTAAATATATACTTGTAATATTGAAATACCTTTTTTTTTAATCAATATAATCAATTAATATTTGTTTAAAACAAATTAATTTAAATAAAAAACTTTTTAATAAACGTTTTATAACTGCGTAATTTCCAATATAAAATTATGTTTCTCTAAAGGCACTATGGGGTACACAAAACAAAAAAAAAAAAAAAAGTAAATAAATAAACAACAACGTAGTTTCAACTTTTAATAAAAACTGTTTTTTTTTTCTTTTTTTTTTTTTTGTTTCTTTTTTTTTCCTTTTTTTTTTTTTTTTTTGAAATTTGCAAATCGTTTATCGTAATGTAATAAAAAATTTAAAATTTTGAAAATAACCTACTAACGATTAATAATAAAAACTTTCATACGTTTGACAAAAACAAATAAATCGAAACAAATTAACGATTAGATAACAAAATATAAATACAAAATGGCGAGCACATGAAAACAAAAACATTAAAAATTCAACGTCAAAAAAAAAAAAAAAAATCAAAATAAAGAATAAAATTAATTTTTATTCATTACAAACCTTAATAGCATTAATCCTCGAAATTGTCAATTCTGATTAACGTGAAAGTTTAAAAATTTTTTACTTATTTATTTGTTGTCCTCTGAGCATTTATGAGAATGTAAAATAATTTCTCTTCGAGAAGAAGAAAAAAAAAAAAAATAAGAAAAAAAAAAAAAAAATAACGTTGCTACACAACAAAGAAACGACTTTTTTTTGGTTCGACTTGCAAGAGCTCAGCTGAGAGGTCGACGTTATATTCACTCTATTTAAACCCCGGTTTGTTTTGATTCTTTTATAGAGGAATGGCTGTAAAATTTATACAATTGAATTTACATTTATAAAATTATTCATTGAAATATAAAGTTTAAATTCAGTGAATTTTTCTTATAATCAGGGGTGTCGAACTTGTTTGTTTTGCTTTCGGTTCGACTTGAATAAAAACAAAAAAATTTTTTTTTTTTTTCCTTTTTTTTTTTTCCGTACCTTACCTGTATTTATAAAGTTAAAAACATTTAAAAAAATATATTTAAAAAAAAAATTGAATTCTTATTTATTTTTTTGTTTTATTATAACTAAATGTCACCGATCGACACACAATTAATTATTATTATTATTATTAAATTTAAATCAAATTATTATTTTTTTTTGCATGATATACAATCACCAAACGTTTATGATAATTCCTATTAAACTAATTTTTTTTTGGAGGAGGAGAGATGTGGGAGGCGGGAAGGGGGCGGGATTAAATTATCGAGAAAGTCGTGCATTTAAACAAAAAAAAAAAAAAAATTGATAAATGGAAAATTTTTCATTTTTACAACGGTTTTTTTTTTTTTTTTAAATATATCCCTAAATTTCAATAGTATATATACTTTTTCATATAAAAAATTACGCGTAATTATTTATTTATTTATCGTTTATCGAATAAAACCGAAGAAATTGAATAAAACTTTACAAAAGTTTTTTTTTTTTTACTTATGTTTTTGTATTCATTGTCAAAAAAAAAGAAAAAAAAATTTTTTTATCTTTTTTTTGTAGTACAAAGGTTACAATTCATTATATTCCATTATCATTTTCTATGGTTTAGTCTGTTACAGATTAATGCACTCAAAAACTAAATAAACATGAAAAAATAATTTTTTTCATTATTATAAATATTCATTAAACTTTCATATACTAAATATATATATATATATATATATATATAAATTTTTATACCAGGAAAAAAAAAATAAAAAAAAAATTATTGATTGTATCTTTGTTAGAACGTTCGTTTATGAATACGTTTAATAATAAAACGTTAGACACACACACACGAATTACCATAGTAATGAATCACTCATGAGTTCATATACATTTCGATAAAAATTTTATTTATTAATTTAAAAAGTAAATACAATTACATTTTGATAATAATATTTTTCTTTAGGTTTATTTGATTCAATTTCTTAAAGGTAAATAATTAATTATTTTTTTCAAAGGTAAATGCACTTAATTTTTAAATTGAACAAGGATAATAAAAAAAATTAACTAAACAAAAGAGATAAAACAAAAAAAATAATAAAAATAATAATAAGTTCAAATATTAATATTAAACACTTCAAGTTAATATTTATTTGTCCGATTATATTTTAATAGTAAATATAAATTTTATATTATTATTTTTTACTTAATTATTATAAATAATAATAATAATTTAATAAAAAAGAAAAACGATGATGAAATTTAATTTTCATCGTAAAGTGGAGTCCCATCTCCAATTGAACTTTCTATCATTGAATGTGGACTCGTGTTTGTCATTGGCGTGCCAAAAGATCTAAAAAATATAAACCAATAAATAAAATATAGTCCGAAACAATGTCCAATTATCCATTTCTGTTTTTTTTTTTTACTTACTTAACGCTATCTCTTGTTGATGAATGACTGCGATGATGTCTGTGACCATTACGCGAGTTGCTACGTTCATCGTTTCGCCAACTTTTCCTTCCTTCATCATAACGAGGAGTAGTTCCCATTCTAAAAAAATATAATTTTCAAGGCATAAAGTAAAACGTGAAAAAAGCCAATAATAATAAATAAATAAATAAGACAAAATCCATACTTACATAAAATTAAAATTTCGGAAAAAAGGAAATAAATGATGTGGAAATTACGGAATATCACTAAAAATGGAAGGATAGACTTTCATAATCAATAATAAAGAAAAATTGAAAGGAAATTAATATTTAAAAAAAAAAAAACAATTGATTACATACCTCGGCGTGCTAAAAACATCTCGAGGAGTATTTTTTGAATTTTGTGGTTGCTCTTTCGATTTACGTCTGGCCCACGCTTCAGCTGCTTTTTGCCAATCAAGAGGATCATTCGATGAAGAATTACTACTAGCATAAGGCCTAAAAAGAAAAGAAAAAAAAAAAACATTAAAATTAAATTAAAATAATTTTCCGCACTCGAAACAAAAATTAATTTTTTTTTTTTTTTAACCTTGAATTAAATTGATGTTGGTGCTGATGAGAATGCTGTTGTGCTACCGAAGGTCTGTGAGACGGAGTTCTGTAGCCTGAAGGCATTTTATTCATGGTCGGCCTTATTCCTCCTGGATGAACAAATGCTCCCATGGCGGAATGAGGAGGCGTTTGAGCTCCGTATCTCGGAGTTTGAGTTATGTTAACGTGAGGGGTAGCGTAGGGAGTCATGAAAGGCGTCTGACCAGAAGGAGTATAAGGTGTATTTGCATAATGATATTGTCCAGGGGTGTGCGGAGGGCAATGAGGAGTTTGACTTGCGACTTGAGTGAGACTTTGCAACATGTGATTGGGCAAATTTTGAGCAACTCTTTGAATGGACTCTGGATTAATACCAGAAAGATTAATCGAAGGAGTTTGTCCTCCGTGGAATGGTGTGCGAGTAACTCTTGGAGTACCAGGAGTGCCCGGTATGGGATCTCGAAAATGTTCTTTAAACCACTTTAAAAGTAAATTAACAGAATAAAACATTTGTTGACGAAAACGAAAACCCTCCGGTGTGACGGACACGTATTCGTGCCGGCATCGGTTTCTTGGTAAATAACTCAATATAAATTTTCCAGGCAGGGATTTTGAAGCAGAAAGAATATAGTGAATTTTGTTTGGATTTTTCTTTTTTTCTTCTCGGAGTAATTCCTCTGCTTTTTCTTTCCGACCCCCTTCGGTGTCTCGGTAATTTTTAAAAGATAATATATCTCTAGCATGCGAAGCCATTGGATTTATATAACGAGCTATTATTTCATCCAAATCCTCGAATTCTTCATTTCCGATCCAGAGAGACTGACCGAGAGAAAACGCGTTTTCTTTTCCCTCTTCTCTTACATCAATGTGCTGCAGTATGCCGTCGGTGACTTTCCAAGTCACCGTTAAATGATTTGCTCCTTTACTCGAAGGACGAATAATTGCTTCACCTTGTTCAAGAGTAGACATAATTTTTTCGGATTCAGCATAGCCTATGTTGTGGAAAGCAGGATGGACAATAACTCTTTTTATGTATTGTTGTCTAGCCTTCAATTTCTTTACATCTTCTTCTGCCTTTATGTCTTTGGTTTCAGCATCGTGATCGAAGTAAGGATCTTTTGGTGGACGCCATTCATGATTTTTATCCGCAAGGTCAGAACTTTTCGACGTGCATTCTACAGAGAATCTATCAACCTCAATTTTAGTTATGCGGCAATGAATCATTTGATTTTGTTGAACCCTTTCTTCAGGGTTAGAAACATGTTTGTCAGATAAATTCCTGACGTGAATGTATCCATTAATCCCATTGTCAAGTCGTAATCGTACTCCTGTAGCTTGACCCGGACAAGATCCAGCATCAAAGTGATTCCAAACCTAAATGAAATTATAATAGCACAAAAATGAATTTTTTTTTATTACGTTTCCATAGTGAAAATTTTTCTTATGAAAATTTAATGGCAATTAAAAAACTTTAAAAAACAAAACAAAACAATTATTAGCAAATATATACCTCTGAAAGCTCAGGAAAGTCATTTTTTAAGCAAAACGGACATTGCCACAAATTTGTTTCGTCATTTCGAACTGGATTCGCTTGATCCAGTTGGTCCCCTTTAGGTCTCTTGTGAGTTATACCTTAAATTTACGAAAAAAGAATAACTTAGAGAAAATATGTAGGACGGTCGTTATGACTACATTCATTTATACGCACCTACAACTCTGGCCAAAACCATTTTGCCAATGTAAAAAGTTTCCGGGCTTTCTTTGGTTAGCATGTCGAACAATTCTTCGGAATTAGGAGACCAGTAAGGCGTTCTTAAATCATTATAACGATGATTAAGTTCTGCTCGAATATCGTACAACGTAATGCTTTTATTTCCAAAACCCTGTCTTTCCAATTCTTCCGCAAAAGCGTCCAAATCTAAATCTTTTAATCGTTCTGGCGATTCTAAAATTTCCTCTAAAGCTCCCGCCGGATTCGCCTCTTCGTCATCGTATTCTAAAGCATCCACAGCCATTTTTCTAGCCCATTCATACGTTTCAGGGTGAACTCTTGATCCATCTAAAACTTCTACGTATGCTTCCGTGCTGCAAATGAAGTAATACAAAACGATGTAAGTTGAAAACAAAAAAAAAAAAAAAATTTTTTTAAAACAAATATTTAAAATTAAACGGTAATATCGAACCTATCTCCGAGAGAATTTGTATCTATTTTAATAAATCCTGCACAATTAATGAATACTTTAGGTCCCATATGGCAAGCAGTAACTAATTGAGTTCGATTTTCCAGTCTTTGATTGTTTTGTTTAAGAGTTTTAAGAAGAGCAGCCGCTTTTCTAGGCCCAAACCCACAAATAAATTGAACTAAATTACTGGTGTAAGCCTGAGCAACGGCACGATTTACATCGACTCCTACTTCATTCGTTCGATTTATAAATTCTATGTAAAGAGCTTCTAAAAGCTCTTCTTTAGGAACTTGATCTTGTAAAGGATGATATCTCAAACAAAGAATTTCTTCATCAGATGTACATAATTGAGAAAATTCTGTGAGAGGATCTTGCATTCTTCGAGCCAAAGATATGGCTTGTCGCAGTAATAAAGGATAATCCCTGAATTCATTCTAAAATTTTGAAAAATTATTATTTAAAATATAAATATATATATATAAAAACAAAAGGGGGAAAAAAAACAGTATAATTGAAATTAGAAACTCACTTCTCCCTTTATCGAATTAGCATAAGTTTTAGCTAATTCGTTATCAAGGATTTCTACGGCTATCGATGCAAATTCATCATCCTCAACCAAAGAAGTTACCAATTGTTGAATATCCGTTTTTATCATTATTGCATCTCTAGATTCACCTCCGATGACAATAACGTGTGGTTTTTTAGATTGTATAAGATTCTTCAAGGAGGTAAGATCGTGTTCTTTCTTAATATTGTCTTCTTTATTTGCAGATAACTTTCGCTTTAACAAATGCGGGAGTCGCAAATAATCTGTACATTCTCCATCCGGCCCAACAACGCAAGCAAAAGCGGCTTGACTTAAATCGGGAACGTAAGCAACTCCCATGACTCGAAGTCCTTTACTTGTATCCCAATCTTCGTCATCATGATCAAATTCAGAAGTGTATGGCGCTATCTAAAATTTAAATAATATTAAAGTTTAAAGTTCTACTAAAGGTTATCGTAATCACTTTAAACGGTAGATTTACCTTTATCCAATTGTATAACTTTCTCGTACATAATTTAAGAATATACTCCCTAGCTTCAGAAAGCAAATGTGCTTTCAATTCTTTTTTCAAATCAGGTAAAAGAATTTTTTTTAATGCTATTTCCACGCATTCGACTCTCAATGCATTCCAATCTTGAACATTTTTACTGAATTCATCTCTGTAATATAATTGCTTAACTTCTTCTATGTAAGAAAGTGAAGTAAGGCCAGGGATTCTTTCATCAAAAGTTATAGTTAATAATTTATCTTCTTCGGCCATTGCTAATTTTATAAATTGATCACCTTGCAATTCTCTAACAGGTTTTCCTTTTAAATATTTCATACTGTAACAAGCGTGATTTTCATCTATTTCTTTAATGCCTTTTCGAGTAGGTTTTACATCTATTTTGGCCTTTTCGAAAAAAGTCTCACGAACACATTTTCTGACTAATGGTTCTCGTGCAAGCTGAGTGGCCACCATAAATTTGACAGCTTTTAAAATATCTTCAGGTTGCATGAATTGACGACTTATATATTGCTTGGCCAATTGCAATGGTTCCGTACTCTCCTGATCAACTTCATGTCTCTGATAATTATCACGTAAATTTTCGCCAAATTGCGCAGGCGTGAGGCCAAATTTCTTAGATAGGCCGGCTACAAAAAAAATAAAAAGTATATAAGTAAATAAATACTTACTTTTTCAAGTTTTCAAGTTTTCAATTTTGAAATGAATTCTTACTAAGTCCAGCTTTCCGGCACATAGCGTAGGGTCCACTTCTCACAGCTTGTTTTATTGTTTCTTCGGGAGGTTTTTCTGCTTCTTCCGCTTCTTCATCATCATCTTCATCTTCAAGCTCATCTTCACCTTCAGTTCCTTCCATATTTGCCCTTTCTTCCAGTTTTTTCCTACGTTTTTCTAATTTTGCAGCTTCTTTTTCTTTTTTCTGTAAGAAATCAATCAAATACATTATTAAACTTCTTTTTTTTATTAATTTAATTACAAAAAACGAAAAAAAAAAATTAAAAACTTCACTACTAACTTTATAAGCCTCTAACATAGCCGGAATATCTTGAGAATAATATAGCAAAAAATTCATATGAACGTCTTTTAATTCCTCCATAGTTTTTACATTTTTAAGTCGTTCAATGTCGTCATCACTAATTATCCGCACATCTTCGGGAATAGGAGCATCTATATTTTGAGTCAGTATTTCACATAAAAAATCTCTCATTCTTTCAAAAAGTTTTATCAAATTATTTTTCCTGGTTTTCAATTGACACCACTACAAAAAAAAAAAAAAAAATTATAATAAAAATTTAAAAGATTTTATATTCTACAACTCAGCCTCGCTGTTAAAAATTTAGGATTTACAATAAATGTAACTAAATTACGGCGTATAAATTTTAAGTAACGAGAGTAAATAAATAGAAAAAAAATAAATATAATTTAACATAAAAAAAAATCTTTAAGTGATACCTTTTCGTCATATTTATAAACTTTCCAAAGGTCATTAATATTCAACTCCGGAAATACATATTCTTTTCTGTAAAACGCAATAAATGGTACTTCAAAATTTTGATTACGTATAAAGTCCAATGCTCTTTTAATCTTTCCGATCGTTTGTGGACCCCTTCGAGGTCTATCTCTATCTGAAACTTCTTGTATAGATATGGTTGGCTTGCAAAAGGCTTGCTTATAAATCCATTCGGCTTCTTCATCTAACTCTTCAGATCCTTCAGGTACTGCAGTAACTTTAAAATCTCTGAGTTGCATTCGTTCCGGAATATCGGTGTTCCTAATTTCATTATCCAAGTCAGTGAAATGACCTCTTTTAAGTTCGCTAGGCTCATAAATTTCAAAAATTGATTTCTTTGTTGTTTTTCTAACTTTTTTCTTCTCTTTTCTACGTTTATGTTCTTCTTCGGCTCCTTCTTCAACATCGTATTCATCTTCCTCCTCATATTCGTCACCAAATTTTTCAAATTCGTCAAAATCAAAATCTACGCCGAATATATCTTGAGCTTCTTGAAGAGCCCTGTAAAAATGATTAAACAAGTTTTTATTTTTCACTATAAAAAAAGCATTGTGAAAACAAATTTTATCTTTGAGAGAATTTTTAATAAAATAAAAATTAATTAATAATTCAATTACAATGTTGGACCTATTGTACTAGATGAATACTGTTGGATATAAATTAATAAAAAATAAAATTAAATGAACTAACGCATCATTAAAAATAGGTTTTCTCTTTTTCCTTTTTTCAGCAATGGGTCTTCCAGCATCATCGACTATAAAACCATCGTCATCATCATTTGAATACTCTCCTTCTTCTTCTTCTATATCGTAACTCTCTGGTTCAACTGATCTATCATATCTGTCATCTTCTTCCTATAATTTTTTTTTTTTAAGCAAAATATCTATCACCAAAACTGAAAAATCATAGTCTAAAATATTTGTCACCATAATTTAAAACAATTGTTTAAGTATCCTTCATTTTTGTAAAGTCATTAATATTAAATAAAAAATAGTTTTTAATAGCCCATATAAATTAATGACAAAGTATTTCTAAATAATAAAAAGTACATTTTTACCTAAACATGGCTTTTTGACATAAATGTCTAAGAGTTTTTGCCCACTACCTGGAATTTATATATATACACAAACTATACATATATTAAGCTTACATGATCTGATCCTTCGAAAAGCTCATTGGCTATAGCATCTCTATCTTCTCCTTCATCATGTTCTTCCTGCTCGTTACCAGATTCATCATCATCTAGTCTTCTTAACCTTTTAAACTTTTTTTTTCTTTCAATTTTATGTCCCAAATTTTCTTCCAAAAGATCATAATCATCATCTTCTAATCTGTCATCGAATTCCTCATCAGATTTTTTTCTCTTTTTAGAGTTATCTGACCCATCCGAATCTTCCCCTTCACTTTCCTCATCCTCAATTGGATTGTCATCAATCAAATCTTTAAGTTCTTCTCTTAGTTTCTCTTCATCATCTACAAAAGAGTCAAGTTACCAAACTTTAAAACTACATAAATGCATGATCGATTAATTAGAATTACACACACACAAATTAATATACGAACACAAAATATTTTAATTATTTACAATATTTATTAAAAAGAAATGCTAATGATTTTTATTGTTATCAAAATGTTTAAAATTAAAATTTTAAAGTAAATCTTGTTAAATTGAAAATAAAATTGTTAAGACTTAAATTTATAAGTTATAAGGTAGTAATTTTAACTATTTAAAAAATCTTACCTTCCTCTTCTTCTTCATCATCACTATCTATAGCTTTATGTCTTTTTAATTTTTTTTTTTCACTAGGACTTAATTCTTCATTATCACTTTCTTCAGCTTCTGAGTCTAAAAAATCAGCCATTTCCAATGAATCTAAGGAAGAAAAAAAAAAAAAAATTTTAATACAACAGAATTTTGAACTATTCTTATGACATTAAAGGAAAGAGTTAATAAGAACTTTGTATTATAATGAAAATTGTTTTCAAAATATGCAATTAATGTAATATATAAAAACAAATAATCATTTTTTAAATTAATTATTAATTAATCTTTTTATTTTTAACTAAAATAATCTAAGAAATAAAATTAAATCGTATTACTTATTTAAAAATGATTATCGTAAAAAGGTAGTTCTAATAAACATTTTGCAAATACTTTTCACTACAAGTAATAATAATGTTAAATAATAAAATTTTTTCATAAAAATCTTATTAAACTTAAGAAAAATAAATATTTTTTCAACACTGAAGGTGCTACTTACTTAAAAGTATCAATACTTTACAGGAATATATTTACAATAGACATCAGTGCATCAATTTTTTTTCTTTACGAAATAGAAATTATAAGTTACAATATGGCCGACACTGACTTCCAACATAAATAGTTTTGCTATCGTTCAATGGCAAATATTGCGGTAGCCATATTAAGTACATGACAGTGTAATTTTTGTTTTCAACCGGTTGTTTCTAAGTTTTTTTTTCAAAAATGTTTCTTACAAGATCGGAATACGATAGAGGAGTCAATACTTTTTCTCCTGAAGGTAGATTATTTCAAGTCGAATACGCTATAGAAGCTATAAAATTAGGTTCAACTGCAATCGGCGTATGCACTAGTGAAGGAGTTGTTTTGGCTGTTGAAAAAAGAATAACCTCACCTTTAATGGAACCTTCTACGATTGAAAAAATAGTCGAAATAGATTCACATATAGGTTGTGCAGTAAGTGGTTTAATGGCTGATTCTCGTATTATGATTGATAGAGCTAGAGTTGAAGCACAAAATCATTGGTTTATTTACAATGAAAAAATGTCAGTTGAAAGTTGCGCTCAAGCTGTGTCCAATTTAGCAGTTCAGTTTGGTGATTCCGATGAAGAAGGTAGTGCTATGAGCAGACCTTTTGGGGTAGCTATTTTATTTGCTGGATGTGATGAAAAAGGTCCACAATTGTATCACATGGATCCTTCCGGTACATTCATGCAGTTTGATGCCAAGGCAATTGGATCCGGCAGTGAAGGTGCTCAGCAAAGTTTACAGGAAGCTTTTAATAAATCCTTAACCCTCAAAGAAGCTGTCACAACAGTGCTTACTATTCTAAAGCAAGTTATGGAAGAAAAATTAAATTCTACAAACATTGAAGTTATGACTGTTACACTCAAAGGAAATTATCATTTATTCACAAAAGATGAACTTGAGATGACTATTAAAAATATAGCTTAGTATTTTTTTTCCCTTTAATTTAAAATGAATAATCTTTTTTTTGTATATTAAATAATAAATCTGTAATAAAAATTAAGTATTGTTTTTAATTCTATATCAATTATTAAAAATGTTGTCTCTTGTTATACTTTTTTATGGTAGCAATAATTCATTGCTAGAAGTTTTTCGAAAAGAAATATTTTTTTAAATCCTTTTTTTTTTTTACTTAATAAAATATTTTTTCATAGTATTATTTTTTGACAGTATATTATAAATTAATTGACCTTAAAGCAATTAATTTTTTTATAATTCGAGTAATTAAATAAAAATTTTGCAGTGATTCTCTTCCAAGTGCTTTTATACCCTATCAATTTCATATTAATTAATTAATAAAAAGATTTCTGCATTGAAATATAATCTGTAATTTTTGTTTTCATAAATTTACCGTCAATTAAAATTAATACTTTGATTTTAAAAAAATAAAGTTATTTTTAAAAAGTCCCTATTGAGAATATGATGAAAGAATGAAAACCTCTAGCATTGACCTTACTATTTGAATTTAATCAACAGAGGTTTTACTTATGAAAAATTGAAACAAATAAAAATGTAACCGTTATAATAGAAAAAAAACCTAATTCTCACTTTTTAATAAACAAATTTTCCACAGATTAATTTTAACATATTCTTTGCCCAAAAAACTGAAATTTTCAAAGATTTAGATAATTCGAGACTACTGAGTTTTTGTCCTGGAGCATGTAGACAATGCTTTAAATTGTTAGAATAAAAGCTTTTGAAAAATGAAGGCAATTAGTTTGTTAATAGTTTGATTTCATATTAGGAGTTACAATTTCTATATATAATAATTTTATTATTAATAAAATCTAAGTTGGCACCACTGTTTCGTTCATTGCGTGAAACATTTGAAATTAAAAAATTTTAGAGGTTAACAGAGTCTAAAAATTTGACAGTTTAAAGAATACTTACTTTACTTTGTTGAATTTAAAAACTTTATTAATTTTTTTTTTATTGGTGATAGTATTAAATTTTCTTACGTCGTACACTTTCATACAGAAACAGCAGTTTTCTAAGATGATGGATGCTGAAAAAGAACAAAAAATTGAGCTAAATGAATTGCGAAACAGGTTAAGAGATGCTAAGTTAGAGTATAGACAAAAACGAAGAGAAACTTTAATTAACGAAAAAAGATTCGTAAAAGAGTCAAAACCAGTTGAATGTGTTTCTGCAACGGAATTAATATCATTAGCTAAAAGTATAAAGCATAAAAACCAAATTACTTGCGAATCATTGAAAATTATTATGAATACTTTGTTGGAAGACAGAGAAAATATTTCTGCGTTTTTGACTGTTGATGGGGCATTGCCTGCTTTACTTAGAGCATTATCAGGCAAATTAACTTTATTTATATTTTAGTTTTAATTGAGCCTATTTTCATTTTTATTTTTTTTTGTTAATTTTAAATTTTTAGGACAAAATGAAAAGTTTCAATTACTTGCTGCTAGATGTATTTGTAATTTGAGTTTAGGAAACTCAAAACTATCATTAAAAGTCTTGAAAGCAGCAGATTCTTACATGTTTGCCCATTTATCAGGAAAAAACAATTACATAAAAGTAAATATTATGTTAATATGTAAATGACTATAAGTATTTGAGATATAAATTTGTTAGGGAAATATTAATTAATTTTAAATTAATGTAACACTAAAGTCTTTTTCTTTTTTTAATTTTCTTGGATACTTAAACATTAATTAGAATAGAATATAGGTAATAATAAAATTGATTAATTCTAGTTTTAATAAATGCTTAGGAAGCATGTGCAATTGCTGTCGGAAACTTTAGTACTCATGGCAAATCACATATTGAATTACTCTTGGTTCAAGGATTTTTTTCCAAGATAATTGAATTACTTGAAAATTGCAATGAAATGTCAGAATCATGCTTATTGTATGCTCTAACACAAATGATTTTTCATGGATTTGACATTTTAGGGTAAATTTTTTTTTAAATTTAAATTTTTCTAAGAGTACATTTCTTAATTTTTAGGGTTTTTTTTTTTTAAAGTAATAATTTGATTTTTCCTGATTTTTTAGGGCAAAGGAAATGCAAACAGCTCTTGTAAGTATCATTCCAATTTATCAAAGGAATGGTTTTATAGTAGTATTTCTTATGTCTGTTTTATCAGCAAGCAAAGAATGTCATCAAATTATACAAGATTCTTCTATTCACATTCAAACATTAAAATACCTTTTGATTTCTGTAAAAGATTCTGAATATGAATCTATTTATTACCTTAGGATTCTTAGTAATTGTGTATCTAATGAAACTGTCCTCATGGCTAAAGATTTGATCCAAGATTACAACTATTTATTCAAAGAATGTTTAAACCTTTTACTTCAATCAAACATAAACGTTTTGAAAAAAGAATGCATAGGATTGGTTGGAAATCTTTTAAACCATCCTTTACCTCTGGTAACTGCTTTTGGGTTAGAAATTCTGGAAGAAAATTATAATTCTGTTAAAGATTTTTTTTAAGTTTTAAATAATACAAATTTTGTTAAGAATTTACAATATTTTTAAAAAATTTGTTTAGTTTTTGATTTAAGTTACTAATACTAATACTAATGTGCAAAACTATTTGATAATAAAAAAAATTCAGTCAATTAATTTATGCACAATTTATTCACATATAAAAAAAAAAATTTTAGCCCGAATTTTACATTTAAAAAAAAAGAAAATTTAAAATACTAATAACGTTTTTTCCGGTATGAAAATTTTTTAGTGACTTTAGGATAAAAAGTTGGTTCTACGTCAATGATGCACAAGAAATTGCCTACGTTAAAATATAGATTTCCAATAAGATTCGATGAATGCGAATTGACGGTTTTTAAACATTTATAAAAAACATCTTCGCATTCGCAATGAGATCTTGAAAAAGAAAAGAAATAAATTTGTATTATTAACACGCACAAAAAAAGAAAAAATTATTTTTTAAATACTCATTGTCGTTTTTTTTTTTTTTTTTTTTTTTCTCATACTTTGTGTATAAAGAATAATTTGTCAAATTATGTTGAGTTTTCAATCCCAACACTTTAACTGGACAAAAATCATGACTTCTACAACATTTATCTAATTTTTTATCAGTTCCTAAATCATAATAGGTATTAGCCAAATCACCGGATCCGCACCATTTCGTACCTAGAAAAAAATTAAATCAAATATTATTATTTAAATATACATGTAATTTAAAAAAAAAAAAAAAATGATGATTATACCTGGAAATACTCCACTTAGTAAAGATGAAAATTGTCTTCTTTCAAATATTAATTTTTGAGATCTTTCTTCTGTAATAAATTTATAATTATCAAATATTGGTGGTGATTCTAATTTTTGACATTGTTCCATCAATTCTATCATATCCGTAAAATTTATTTTTATTTGTAATGGAATATATTGACGGAGATCGCTAAGAGCAACTTCTTCATCTTTTTTTGTTCTGATTAAAAATAGTAAAAATAAATAATTATTATTATTATAATTGTGACTAAAAAAAAAAAAAAAGAAAAATGATCAATAAACTACTACTTATTATCTGATAAAACAAAAAAGCAATCGAAATATTTTTTTTGGCAAATTTAAAATAAAGAGTTTTTATATTAGAAAACTAGTTTATCAAACTCATATTTACGGTAAAATAATTGGATATTGGGAGGCAATAATCCAGCCTAATATTGAAATAAACCGCAAAACCCAAATAAATGATGAGTTATTAACGATAACTTTCCAGAAAAAATAAAAAATTAAATTTTAATGAGAAAGAAAATATTACTCAATGTTACAACAGAAAATTTCCCTGTGGGACGTCATCAGATGTTATATAAAAAAAAGTATTTACAACTATCATCCTTCAAGGAAGTATTTTTATTCCTGAAGGATCGGGTAAAAATTTGAAATAGTTAAAAAAAAAAAAAAAGGTTATAAATTGATTGAAAAAAAAAAAAAAAAAAAAAAAAATTGTATCCTTTGAATCTAGTTTTACGACTATCATTAAATATATATAAAAACATGATAAGGTGAAAGTCGCAAAAACATCCTGTTCTATGTACCTTGATAATAATTATTATTAAATAAAATTATTTATTTATATTACTTTGATTTTTTTTTTAAACTAAAAAAAGAAAAATAAATGAATAAATAATATCAAATTTCATAAATGTTATTAAATTTAAATTTTTAAAAAAAAAAAAAAAAATATAAAAAATTTACGAGCGTAACGATTTTTATGTAGAACACAAGTTAAAAAAAAAAAAAACAATTTAAATACAGTGAAACTATATTTTGAAGAAAAAAAAGAGAAAATGATAATTGTTTTTTACATATTAATATTTTGACGTTTTGTTTTATTAAAATAATAATAATAATAAAATATAATTTATTTAAAAAAAAAGTAAGTCGGTTTTAATTTATTTACCATCTCCTATGAAATAAATTTTTTTTTTTTGTTAAAAAGTTGAGGAAATTATATAAATGATTAATTATTATTATTATTATTGTACATGAACCTAAATAATTTTTTTATTTAAATTCAAATAAAAAATTAAACTTTAATCTTCGTGGCATAAATAATAATAATAATAATACTTACTTGCGTAGTTATTTGGTGGTTAAATATTGCAAAAAAAAAAAAAAGGGTAAGAATTTGTGTAATTATTTTTTAAATGAAACAAAAAAAAAGAATAATAAAAGTGAAAGTAATTAATTAATTAATTTTTTTTTGTTTTATATGAAAAAAAAAAAACCTTGAAAATTATTATTATTATTATTAATATACCTAACTTACCTAACTTCCAAAAGCTCACAATTAAAAAGTTCTCTTTTTTCTGACACTTCAACAACGGCAATAGTTTGTTCGTGATAATAAATGGCTAATATTGAATCGTTTTTCAGTCTTGTTCCGGTAAAATTTTTTTCAGGTCCTGGAATCGTTTTCGTTGGTTCTGGAAAAATAGTTTGAGCAATAGATGTTAAGGAGAGGATTCCTCGCCCTTGCATAAGAACCAAGAAAGCCGCTGACAAAACATGAATTATTTTCATGACATTTGTCTACAATATTATTATAAATCGGTTAAATGTCACGAGACGAAAAAAAAAAAAATTATTATAAATCGGTTAAATGTCACGAGACGAAAAAAAAAAAAAAAAAAAAAAAAGTAGGTTCGATTGCCGTTAGGCTTTTATAAGTTTTAAAACGTAACCGAACGCATCGGAGATCCGCAATCAACTGTCTTAAATCAGGTTTTAGTTATACGAGATCCCACCAAATGTATTACGTGGGATACAAACACACACACACTACTACGGTAGGTACAAACTTTTTTTTTTTTTTTTTTTGTTACGTCATGGAGAAATTTTAAACAAAATTTTCACTTTAAATTTTTCCTGATTTTCTCGAGAGATTTACATTATCATCATTATCGTGATAAAAACTTAATAGTTTTATTTAAATTAATTTTTTTTTTTTGTCCAGACACAAGAACGACGTACACACACGACACACACACGACTCACGACACGACATAAAATGTTTTTTAAAAAAAAAAAAATTAATTTAAATTAGACTCGTAATTCGTAATCGCTAAAAATGGCGATTATATAAAACTTCAAAAAAAAAAAAAAAAATTAATTGAAACGTTAATTAAAACATTGTAGTGTACGTGCGCGAAAGCGTTTTTGGCGGGAAAAAAATAAAGTGAAATTATTTAAACGATCGGGGCGTTAGATTCTAATCGTTCGTAAACGAATTCCTTTTCTTTTCTTTTTCTTTTTTTTTTCAGTAATTTTAAAAATTTAAAAATGAATATTAAAAAAAAAAAAAAAAATTTTTTTGTTGATACTCTGAGGAAAAAAAAAAAACAAAAGACTGGGCATTCGAAAACAAATACAAAAGGTATGTTTTTTTTTTTAATAAGGAAAAAATTTTTTATTTCACGATCAAAAGAAATTCGTTGTAACTAAATATATATATAAAAAAAAAAAAGTTTTTATTTTTTTTTCTCATTTATTTTCGATAATAATAAAATAAAAATTATAATTTAATATTTAAGTTAAATTCGTTTAATGAATTTCAAAATTTTTTTTTTAAACCGTCAGAATAAAAATGGAAGAAAGCTCGGAAGGGTTAGAAGATCGAAACGTCGTGTGTTCCCTTTATATAAGCCAAATTAAAAATCCGGAACTCAATATAAAAACCCCTGAACACGAATTTATGGCAGAAGAACAAAATCTAACGACAAAACATCTTCAATCATTATTAAATTCCTTCGATCTCTCCGGTAAATGGAACATATTGAAAACTTCTTGCGGTTTTTTAATATCATTTGCAAATGAAGTTGATTCCGATAAAGTTGTTAGAAATAATCTTTCTGCGGTTTTTGGACCCATGCAAATTGTTAGACTTCGAAGGAGGCGACCTTTTTTAAGGCAGGTGTGGAATTATTTATAATCAATCTTTTTTTTTTTTTTTTTTCTATTATATACTACTATCACGAGTTAATTATTAATCAATTTACAAATCAAATTGGGTGGCTAACAAATAATATTAATAAAAAAAAAATTTTTTTTTTTAAATACAAACATGAAATAATAAGTAGCATTATTTCCAGGCAGTTTTTTTAAGAGAAGTACCTTGGGCTATACAATTAAACGATTTAAGGGATGCCCTAATAAAACAAGGTATAACTCCGGCAAGGGTAGAAAGAAAAAGGCACCACGTTAGAATCGAGGTAAAGAGTAAAAAGAAGAAGAACAGAAAAAAAAAAAAAAAAATTACTTACCCAATTAACGTATAATAATATGTAAATTCAGGTGTGCCAACCGGAGCATTATGAAATTCTTCTTCGTCGAGGTCTTAATTTTTTCGGTGTGATTCGATTTCAAGCCATACCCGACAGAGGAATTCGAAGTTATCGGAGCTGGCATAATCCAAGTTCTACATTATTGTCAGATCCAAATTTTGTTTTACAATGTTACAAATGTCAGGTACGATTAACAAGAAGTTTTACTGAAAAAAAAAAAAAAAAATTGTTTAATCGTTTTCATTTAAAGTTTTTAATATAAAAATTTTATAATTATTTACTTATCCTTAGGGATTTTGGCATATTGCTGCCAACTGTCGTCATGACGTACGTTGCGTTCGTTGTGGAGATCGACATTCCATACAGTTTTGTCCAAGACCTCGTTCAGATCCAGTTTGCTGTCATTGTTGTGGTCCCCATCATGCTGCTTATAGATTTTGTCCGGTAAAACTTTATTATTATTATTTATCATTAATAATAATAATAATAAAAAACATATTTTTAAAACTTGTGTGTGTGCGTTTGTGTTTCAGGTACGTTTGGATTTGGCAAATGCTATTCCCGTAACCTTAATGTTAACAACCAGAAGGGTTCCAAATCGATATCTTCCGTATCCTAGAAATTGAATGCCATACAATATATATTAAAAATAAATAAAAATAAAAAACAAAAAAAAAAAAAAACAAACAAAAAAAAAACAAAAAAAAGATTAAAAAAAGATTAAAAAAAAGAAAAAAAAAATAGTGAAAATTTGAATATGAAATTTTTTAGGTAGCCCGCGACAAAACAATCGTCCATTTTAATTTTTTTTTTTTTTTTTTCATAAAAAATATTTTTTTTTTAAATAAAATTTATATCAAAAATACAAAATGATAAAATAGATGGAAAAGTTTTTTTGACTCATTCCATCTTTTCATGTGTAAAATATTATACTATACTAAAAAATAAACTCACAAAAATTTTTTTAATATTTTTATTTATTAATTACTATTAGTAATTAATTCTTTTTTTTTTAAATCAGATATTATTATATTATGTATATAATTCATACTATGACGTCATTTTTAATTACTATGAATTAAAATTAATTTCTATGGGAAGAACAAAAAAAAATTAAGGTTTGAATTTTAATATTCGATTTCTGATATTTCCCGTTTCATAACTGATAATAATTGTAAACAAAAAAAATGATTTTAATTAGAAAACCACAGGAAATTGTAAATATTATGCAAAAAAAAAAAAAAAAAAATTGAACGCGAACACGCGAGGTCATGGTTAAATGACAAAAAAAAAAAAAAAAAAAAAAAAAAAAAACTTTTTGTTTCGTAAAAGACAGAAGAAGATGTTTCGGAAATGGTGAAGGTGATGTTTATTACTCGTCTTCAGAGATACCATTTCAACTACGTAGAGTGAAGGTCACAAAATGATGTCCTGTAATATCAGATAATGTTTTAAATATGAGATGTCTTCGATGGATGAAGCACCAGAAGAAAACAAACTAAAATATTCCTATAACGCAAACAATTAAATTTACAACAAAAAAAATAAATTTACATAAATAAATTATTATTTAATAAATAAAATAATTATAATTTTTTATTTATAATTTAATAATAATAATATTTATCAATAGGACTATTTTTAATACAGAACACTTTTTTTTTGTAAAAAATATTTACATAAAATTAATAATACTAATAATAATAATAATGAACAAAAAAGTTGGAAACGTTATAAACTATGAGATTTTAAAGCAATATATAAATTTTTTATCGCGCTGATTTTTTTTTTATTTAAATTTTATGTTGGTGGAAGAAATAATGATAAATAATAAATTGAAATTGTTTTCTTTTAAAAATGATTCAATATGTTAAAAAATAAAAAACAATAAAAAAGCATTAAAAAAAAAAAGAAATTTAAAAATTTATATGTATACTTAATTTATACATTAAATAGTTTTAAATTTTTGTAAATTATTAATTGTGTTTAAATGATTAAAAAAACGTTTGTAACAAATGTAAAATTAGAATTAATAAAAAATATAATACATAAATATTTTTTTTTTTTTTTAGTCTTAATAAAACAAGTTTTTAATGTAAAAACAATAAGAACAAATGCAACAAATAGTTTTTTTTTTGTATGTAATTAAAATAATATTATTGTGAAATTGATGACTTGCTTATAAAAAAAAATAAAATAAATAAATAAATAAATAAAACATATGGGGAAATATATATTCACAAAGACGTTGAAGAAGAAGTTGATGAAGAAGGTGGAAATGAAGAAGATATTGGCGAATGTTGATTGCTGCAATTATCCAAAACTTCTTCTAATATTTGATTTATTGGTTTCGGAGGCTGATGAGTTATAACGGTTTCGTTATTTTTTTGTAATTGATATTCTCTTAATACTTTCCAAGAATTTAATTGATAACTATATTCTGCTACTTTTTCTAAATTTCCTAAATTTGCAAATACGTGTATCATTCCTCTATAATCGTATTCTAAACCTGAATAACCTTTTCCAAATAATTTTATATCTATAAATAAATAAATAACATTTGTTGAGTCAATATAATTTATATATATATTTTATTAAAAAAAAAAAAAATAAACAAATTTAAATCTTACTAATTGAAATAGATCTGAGATATAAATCAATTGCTTTTCTAAATTCTTTCATATGATAATTATAAAGACTCGCTAAATGACCTACTGAAAGCCCAACTTCATAATCGTTCGGACCCAATAATTCTTCTTTAATCGCAATTGCTTTTAAATGCATTTTTTCAGCATCTTTATATTTTTTCATACTTTGATACAATCGACCCAAATTTCCATAATGTTTTGCCGTTTGAACGTTTTTCTCTCCGAAAGCTTTCATTGAAATATTCAATGCGACCAAATGAAGCTGTTCGGCATCTTGCAATAAATCTAAATCTAAAAAAATTATTTTATTTAATTATATATTTTAATTTATATAAAAGAATTTTAAATGAAAATTTTTTATATTTACGAGAATGTTCGATTGAATTATCGATTGCTATTTCTTCTAATATGAGAGCTTTAACCCTTTTCGCGGATGACAGTCTAAAATGATCTACGGGTAGTAATTTTTCCATTATACGAATTGATTCTTCAGATTTTTCAATAGCGACCTGAAACCTTCCAGAACTGTATTCTCTAACGTAAAGACCATAAGCGAGATCCTCTAAAGCCAAAGCGATGTGAACATTGTCTCTTTTAAATATGGAAGTTTTTATATTGTAGGCTTTCTATATATCAACAGATAAAAAAAAAAAATTTTTTTCTTCCGTAATTGATATTATAAATTATTAAATCTAAAAAAAAATAAACCTTGTATACTTCGACGCATTGTTCAATAGAATCGTAATATAAAAGAAAAAACCCGTAGTCGAGAAGAGCATCTGCATATTTTGGATGATCAGTGCCGAAGACTTCTGCAGCCAGATCAACAGCTTGCCGAGCAAGAAGATTAGCTTTTGTAAATTCTCTTTTCACGACGTAAGATTTTGATGCATGCCTTAAAACTTCTACAACTGTTTTACCAGGCAAACTATTATGTCTACTCAAACTATTTTGAACAGATTTTAATTCTTTTAACGCTGCTATGCTAAACCTATGAGCCTAAAACAAATTAAAATTACATATTTTAAACAATATTGAAAACCAATTTAACAAAAAAAAAAAAATTATTTATTTTCATTTACTTCGTGAAATTCATTTTTAGTAAAAAAATACAAAGAAAAATCGGCGTAAATTCCAGGTAAGTGAGGCGTGTGTTTGCTTTTCTTGAGATCATCAATGAGAATTTGAATTTGCTCAAAAGTTTCTTGAGCACCTATGAGATTGCAAAATAACGTTTGAACCCTTAATAACCTGAAATTATTTCAAAATGTGTCATATTTATACACATTTAAATGATAAAGATAACAAAAAAACTTTTTTTTTTTATACTCACTTATGGCAGCATTGCAAGTAAATAATTTTATTGGCAGACGTGGGTTCTAATGATTCGCAAACTTCTTTACAAGAAAAAAAAATTTCTTCTGCTTTTTGAAACCAAGCGGCATCGCTAAAGAAGCTACCTAAAAATAATTTTAAATGTTTTTAAAAAAAAATTTCTACTCATGAAATCAAAGGGAAAATTTATTTGCTATTATTTAGCTAGTTCGGTTTCACACAATTGAGGGCAATGAAACTGATCATTCATTCAATTAAATATTAATTAATTATTAATATTTCTTTGGTAACTCATTCAAAAACTATAATAATAATAATAATAATAATAATATTATTTTTTATAGAACGAATATTACTTTTAAATGTTACACAAAATTTTTTACTTCGAAATATAAAAAGTAAATATGAATTAACTATTGATAAAAATAATATTTTAATTGTATTATAACTGACCTAATCGAAGTCCTGTATCGATAACAGACAACCTGGATTTGGAACAGGAAGAAGTTTGTAAACATTTTTTAGCAGTATTAACATAAGAAGCGGTGAGGGTTTTTGTAACACCGACGCCTTGTTCTTCCAAAGTCTGAAACAAATTAATAAAATTTTAATAAATTATATTTAAATACAAATAAAGCTAAAGAAAATGAGATTAATCCGTTTTTATAAAAGAAAGCAAAAATAATAATTGGATGATTGGTCATTTAAAGTAAAAAGAAAGAAAAGAAAAGAAAAGAAAAAAAAAAAAAAGGAAACTCACGTGATTTGGTTTGGTCGTTTGGGTCGATTAGATAACAATATACGGGACATCCTGTCTAATATGCAATTTTGGTGGGCGTAGGAACAGCAGCAACAACAGAACGTCAAATTATTTCGTGAATTCCCTGCATGGTGACATTAAGTAAATAAAAAATAAATGAAAAATAGATTTTTAGGCTCGTTTAAAAAAAAAAAAAAAAAAAAAAAAACCAAAAAAAAATTGAAGAATGATTAGTAACTACTAAATTCAGTTATAAAAATAATAAATTTAAATTTAGAGGCAAATAACGGCGAGGTCTTGTCAACCTTGACACTGACAAATTTATATTCATTGAATCGTCTTCTAAATATTGCAACCTATTATTTATTACAATTACCTGCAATCTATTTCATAATTAATTAATTTTCTTTTTTTTTTACATATAAATGAGATAATTTATAATAAATACCAAGTCACGTTGTTTCCTTTTAAATTAAGAAATTTAAAAAAAAAAAAAAAACAATTTTCATACAGTAAATCAAATCAGCCTTGGATAAATTTTTTTATTTTTTAAATAAAAGGAAAATAAGTCATTATTAATTGGTAAAAGTTTTCCAATCAAAGATGGGTGGTCAATTTTTTAGAATTTAACAAAAAGATTCAGAGGAGATAAAAAACATTCCTATGATAAAAATATTGAATTTTTTTTTTCCCTTAAACCTTATTGTTTGTTCATTAAAAAAAAATTGTAAATTTTAAATAATTCCAAGGCAATTTAAAAGAGTATGCTACGTTAACTTTTTTGTTATGTACATAAAAAAAAAAAAATAAATAAATAAACTCACCTGAAAACATTTGTGAAGACTAAGACGACGATTAGATAATTTTAATAGTCTTGTAAATGTTTCTAAGTTACTGAATTCATCACCAAAAAGATATAATTTATTTTCTTCATATAACTGAAACCAAAAAATGATTTGTAAATTAATATATTTTTCCTCAAAGGAATTTCATTTTCATTGCATAAACACAAAATATAATACCTTAACTTTTTTAGGTTCAAATTATAAAATTTATTTTATATATTTATTATCACAAAAGAAAAATATAAATTATACAGGTTGATAATATCATTTTAAAGTAAAAATTATTGATTATTTTTTGATATTGTTTCCATTGATTTTTTGCTTATTCTCTGACAATTTGCATTAAAAAAAAAAATTCAAGGATTGAAAACGTCATTTTGAAAATAAAAAAAAAATTTTTTTTAATTTTTTAATATGACTCTAGTCAAATAATTTAACGATATTTAAAATGATTAAAATAAATAAATGAATAGCAAGTTTTAACCATTTACAATCATGAAACCATTTTTGTTATTGTCACAAAAACAACAAATTACAAGTTTTTTGAAAAAAAATTTTTTTTTTTTGTTTGTTATTTATTACTATTGATTTTTAAACATAAAAATTATTTAAATAATTTTTAAAAGAAATAACAAAGGTAATATAATAGAAATCAAGGGCATCTTAATGACACAAGATATCAAAGATTCAAACATTAATTTTATAAATTCCTCATACTACAAATGTGTCATCAGAAGTCAAATTCTTTATTTGATTAATTAAAAAAACAAGAAGTCAAACTCTGAAATTAATTTATATTTTTACATAGAGCACAAAAAAAAAAATAAAAAATTTCATTTTTATTTTTATGATATAAATAGAATTTAGAAAAAAAATAATATAAATCATAAATAGAATATTTGATATTAGGTAACTATTTGTATTAGTAATACAAAATATGCATCAAAAATATATATTAATAATTACATGAACATATTTACATATATTCCTCTTATTATTATAATTATGATAAGAGGATTGATTGGCATAGAATAAAAAAAAAAATAAGTAAAATTTTAATAGAAAACAGTTGTTAGTAAATCGAATGATACTGTTAAATTTTAACATTAATTATTCCCTGAAATCATGGTCAAAAGTAAAAAGAAAGAATTTTAATTTTCAAAACTCGAAATGACTTTGAAATATATATATATAAAATATATTCTGAAATTTGTTGTTAAGAAAATTTTTTTAAATTAATAAAAAATAATTCATCATAATATTAAAATTACATTAAAATAATCCTGGAAAAATTTATAATTTTCTGTTGGAACCTTGAAACAACATTATAGAAATTTAATATGCAACTTTACTGTGCTTATTTTATCATTTATAATTTTCAAATAATAACAAATGTAAAGTTTGAATTCGACTTTTAGAAGTATACTTGAACATGAATTAAAAATTTCAATGTGCATAAATTTCATAATTAACATTGAATAGTTCATTTTTGTTATAAATTTAAAAAATTAAACACAAAAATAACCTTAAAATTAAAAAATTGTAAAATTTTATATAAACAATAAAAGATCTCAAACATAAGAACTTAAAAATTATAATACGTATTACGAGTTGGATATTTTACAAAACCGCGATACAAATAATTAAAAATAAATTTGTGTTTTTGCTTAGTTGCAAAATAATATCACCTTGACTAATTGTCAAGCATTAAATTTATAACTAAAAGGCACTACTTGTTTAGGTGTCATCATTGAAAAAAAAAAAAAAAAAGAAAAAAATTAACAAACAATTAAAGAAATTTTTTAACAATGTCTTTCTTGATAATTAATAAAAACCATAAATAAAAAATTGATTTGATTTTTAAATGAAAATCTATGTGAGAAAAATGAAGTAAAATAATACATACCTTGTAATAAATATCGAATAAAATATTTGCTGAAAGACACTTGATTTCATTTTTTAAAATATTAAAATTTTCTGTGAGTACGTCAATACAATAAGTGAACAAAGACTTTGGTTTTTTTGTATCGGTCACATCTTCCATCTTAAAACAATCTAGATTTAACTACTGAATAAATTTCGGATGCGCCAAGCACAGCATAAATAACACAGAGAGATGTTTGCGGTGTTGCCAAATGTAAAAAGCATATGTTAAATGAGCAAAAAGAAATTTGCTCACTCTACTGACCGTTATTTATTTTGCGTTACGCGCCGATTAGAAAAAAAAAAAAATTTCTTTTTAATTATTATACAAAGAGTATTTAATAAAAACTTTTTTTTATTAAATTAATAATTTATGATTACGATGAAAAATCGTATCGTTAACTTACGTCACGGTTAAATTTTCTTACATTTTACATGATTCCATCTTAAAGAAATTTTAAAGAATTTTACTCTTAGTCAATATGTAAAATGATGTAATGAGATGCGAAATCGTTATTTTAAGTGATTACGACTACGATCGATCGATGGATCGATCCATCGATTGTTTTTCGATTCGCTCAAATTTCTCTAAATAAATATATTAAGGTAAACAATGTTTGAAATCAAATATAAATTAATGTCGTAAGATTTTAAAAACATTTGAAACCTTTGGGGGATAAAATTTAACAGTAAAAATGTTTTTACGATAAAAAAAAAAAAAAAAAAATTATTAGTTAGGTATTAGTATTGTTAATCGTTAAAAGAATTGAAAAATAAATTATCAAAAAGTTTTTAACAAAGGCACAATGGTCTTGCAAGTCAATATGTACTAATTCAAATTTAACATTATTCATAATTCAAATAAAAGTTTAAGGTCGTTACAATGTTTACAATTATTTTTGACTTTATCAATTATAAAATGTTTACAATTTTTTTTTGATTATCCCTTACAATTATAATCAATATAAAATATTTTTTTTGAACTCGATAATTTATTTTTATCGATTTCAAAATAATATTTTTTTTAAAAAACAAACTAAAAAAAAAAAAAAATATTCGCGGAATTTTCATCAAGGAAAATTTATTTCCACCACATTAAATAAAAAAAATAATTTAAATTGATTAATTAATTATTATAAAATTTTAAAAACAAAAATAATAAAATAATTTTGATCAAAATGAATAGAAATTATAATGATAATTTTTTTTTTTTTTTTTGTATTTTATTTGAATTTTAATGAATACAATATGATTTTATATTTTCTAAATTAAAACAAATTAAAATATGATTTATTTATTATACATTAAATAATTTGTTTTTTTTTTTTAACAATAATATTATTTAATTTTTTTTGTAAATAATAATTAAAAACAGAAAAAAAAACAAAAATTACGCATCGCAAAAATACTTTAACAATACGTATATATATATATATATATATATATATATTTTTTTTTTGTTTAAATAAAAGCATCTGAAATAAATAGTATCAACTACTTTTTATTATTATTAAATCCTAAACCTAAAGCTTAAAAGCTTAGACTTAGAAAGTCTTTAAATTTTTATTTTATTTTATAACTATTACTTATTTTTTTTTAATAAAAAAAAAAAAAAAGAAAAAGTTTTTTTAGCAAAAATAATGTTCATAAAATAATTATAAAATAATTTTTTTTTTTTTTAGTATCTATTGACATTGATAAAGAGGCATTTTGTGTCAACTATGACATTAAAAATGTGGGAATTATTTCAAAAAAAAAAAAAAATTATGAAATGAATAAAATGATAAATAATATTAAATATATATATACTTATAAAGAAGCCAAAATATTATGTTAACCGTGACTGTCTCTCTGTCTCTCTCTCTCTTCCTCTCTCAGAATCTATCTTTCATTATCTTGCTGATGAGATTTTTCTCGCCTGATATTTTTACCATTCGATCGATGTTCTTCTTGCTTTTTGTTATAGTAATGAGTTTTTTTATGATTATTCGATTGGTAATTGTTATATCCGGCGGAAGTCGATGCATTATTTTTATCTCGTAGGTACGGTAATGCAGGTACGGGTCTATTTGATTCCGATTCTTTTTTTAAATTATTTGTTGGCTGACACTGTTGACCACCGTCCAAACTGAAATTATATATATTTATAAATATAATTTTTTTTTGAATTCACTGTAAAATAATGTTATTACCTGTTTCTCCAATGGGGATGATTATGCAATGGAGGAAACCTGGTAACCTGTGCCTGTCCATTTCTTTGATAATTCCTATAAGAACCATTATTACCTTCATT